GTCGCCAGCCGACATTGCTTGGCCGACGGCACCCTGAGGAGACCCACTCTGTGGGAGCGTACCGGTCTGTGGGAGGGAATCTGCGGCAGAAGGCGGTCTCGGAGGTAACCGGGTCCTATGCCATGAAGCGCTTTAAAGGTGGTAACTAACACCTTAAAGCGCACCCGGAAGGCCACTGGCAACCAGTGCAGCTCACGCAACAGCGGTGTCACATGGGAGCGACGAGTCCCTCCCAACACCGCCCGCGCGGCCGCATTCTGGACCATTTGGAGCCTCCGGGTGCTCCTCAAAGGGAGCCCCATGTAGAGAGCGTTACAGTAGTCCAGGCGGGAGGTGACGAGAGCATGAGTGACTGTGCGTAAGGCATCCCGGTCCAGAAAAGGCCGCAACTGGTGAATCAGGCGAACCTGATGAAACGCCCCTCTGGTCACGGCCGACAGATGGTCATCCAAAGTCAGCCTATTCTATTCTATTCTATTCTATTCTATTCTATTCTATTCTATTCTATTCTATTCTATTCTATTCCATTCCCCTCTTCCCTTCCCTTCTATATTCTGTTCTATTATTCTGCATTCTCTTCTATTCTGCATTCCCTATTCTATTCCACTCCACTCCACTCCATTCCTCTCCTGCTCTGCTCTGCTCTGCTCTGCTCTGCTCTGCTCTGCTCTGCTCTGCTCCACTCTCCACCCCACCCCACCCCACCCCACCCCATTGACAGTTTCAGGAGCGGGGTTTCCAAGGGGACACCCTCTTTTTCCCATTGGCTTAGATATATGGGACCCCTGACCCAAAAGGCTGCCCTGTGTAAAACAAAGCCAAGGGGGCCTGATTCCCACCCACTGCTGCTCCCCTCCTCCTTCTGCTTACTCCAAAGCTTGCCCAGAGGCTCCTTGAGGCCCCAATGATCCACCTCACAGATGTAGTTATCGTCCTGGTTTGGGACAAAGGTCAGGTAGGAGAACCGGCGGAAGGCGTGGTTCTTCTTGGGGTAGTAATCCATGGTCTGCACCCCTTCGGTCACCAGATGGCCATTCTTCAACCAGGTCATGTTCAGCACCGGGGGAGAGAAGTTGTCCGCCATGCAGATCAGTACGTTGGGTTCCCCCAGCTCCACCTCCTGCTCCGGGTAGACCATCACTTTTGGAGGCTCTGCAGGGGTGGAGAGAGAGGAGAGGGGCTTCAGTTGGGGAGGGGGCTTACTTTGGCTTCCTCCAACTCTTGGACGATTTCCTTCGATGATGGGAAGATCCTCGGGAGAAGTCTGAAGGACTTCAGCTTTGTGGACTGGCTGGGGAAGTGGGAGGGGATGGTTCCACACGCGTGGTTGGCAAGCACGCTCGTGCGCAGCCCCATTTGTGCACCGCTCATCCCAGTTCTGAAAGGCTCAAGACTCGGTAGTGGGCCGTGGGCCGTGGGCAGAGAGTTGGGGATCCCTGCGGTAAGCGGTGAGGAGCAGGAGAGAGAAGGTTGGGGGGTCTCACCTCCAGTTTGGACCAAGGGTTCAGGTCAGAGGGTCCCCACGTGGCATCAGGGATAGAAATGAGATTAATATTTTATTTATTTACATTGTTTGTTTATTATGCCACCCTTCTTCCCCACATGGCATCAGGGATAGCAACAAGATTAATATTTGCTTTTATTTTATGTTATGTTATGTTATTTATTGCTTGTTGGTTATGCCACTCTTCTGTCCCACATGACATCAGGGATAGCAACAAAATTAATATTTGTTTTTATTTTATTTTATTTTATTTTATTGTTTGTTATGCCGCCCTTCTTCCCCACATGGTGTCAGGAATAGCAACAAGATTAATATTTGCTTTTATTTTATGTTATGTTATTTATTGCTTGTTGGTTATGCCACTCTTCTTCCCCACATGGCATCAGGGGTAGCAACAAAATTAATATTTGTTTTTATTTTATTTTATTGTTTGTTATGCTGCCCTTCTTTCCCACATGGCATCAGGGATAGCAACAAGAGTAATATTTGTATATTTTATTTTATTTTTATTTTATTTTATTTATTGCTTGTTTGTTATGCCACCTTTCTTCCCCACATGGGATCAGGGATAGCAACAAGAGTAATATTTAATTTAATTTAATTTAATTTAATTTAATTTAATTTAATTTAATTTAATTTAAATTTATAATTTTATTTTATTTTATTTTATAATTTAATTTAATTTAATTTAATTTAATTTAATTTAATTTAATTTAATTTAATTTAATTTAATTTAATTTAATTATTTAATTTAATTTTATGTATTTATGATGCCACACTTCTTCCCTACAAGCTGACTCTGGACAGCATACAATTTTCTAGAAAAGGGAGGGTGCAAAAGATTCTCAGTGAGAAAATGCCTCCCAAGCTTGCTGCAGTTTTGTTTGGAAATATCTCCCTCTCTCAACCCCCCCTGCCCCCCCCCCCGCTCGTGAAAGAATAAGCTAGGGGAATTCAAGAAAGGGAGGGGCTAAAAGGAACCAGTCCGTCAAATCTAGATTGAGGCCATAATCCAGCGTAAAAAGGTTGAAATGCAAATAGTAATTGTAAAAAGAGAGAAGGGGAGGGGGAGTGTTACACATAGAGGGCAAAAGGAAGAGGCTGAATCCCCTCACACACACACCCCCACCGACCCCTTGTCAGTTGTGTTAATGGGGAAGCATCTTCCAGGGATTCATCTGGTGCAAAAAAACCCAAAACCCCTTCGCAAGTGTCCTCCGAATTTCAAGTGGGCTCATATAGAGGTATCTGTGTTCCCATGAGAGAGAGGGGGGAGGGAGAGGCAGGGAGAGAGAGGGAGGGAGGGAGCGAGGGAGAGAAGGAGGGAGGGAGAGAGGAAGAGAAAGGGGAGAGAGGGGGGAGAGAGGGAGGGAGAGACAGGGAGGGAGGGAGAGGGAGGGAGGG